TCCAGTAAACAGGATTTTGGTTGCCAGTTCAGAAGCTTGACTTCTTTCTGGTCCATACAATTCTTGGTAAATTTTATTTTATTTCCTCTAAATGACTTATTTCCTTGCAATAATAAGTACAACAAGACCAAAAACCTAAAGGAGTATCAGCTAAATCTCACTTCATTAGGTTGAGGTAATGACTGAAGTTTCCTACCAGAAATATAAGACTGAGTTGTAAGATAATTCAAACAAGTGCAAAATCTAAATTTGACAAGGCAAGCAACTCTCATTCCTTTGTCTATTTGACCACTATTACAGCTTAAGACTCCTCTAATTTCCTTTTTAAGTGGTACAGAAAGAAATATAATCCTTTGTCCTTTGTCTTTCATGAAAGAAAACATATCCTATGTGGCATCATACCTTACAAGGTTTGTCTTGATTCCCCCAGACTTTTAGGCCTTGGAACTTTTAGGTTGGCTTGTGACCAAAGCACATATTCACATAGGTATCAGATGTTCCGTCTTATGTTTGCTGAGCATGGTCCACATAAACTCTTATCTTTTCAAATCAAGCTAGCCTTACAGGAGATGTCTGCCAGATATGACTAAAATCAACAGTGTCTCTTTTATAAATGTGAAAATGAGGGACCAGAATGATAGCACAGTGAGAAGAGATTCTTGTGTTGCATGCTGCTGACTTGGCTTCGGTCCCCGGCATCCCATATGTTCCCTTGAGCCCACCAGGACTGATCCCTGAGTACAAAGTCATGAGTAATCCCTGAGCACCACCTGGTGGGGCTCAAATAAAAATGAGAAAATGGATGATGTTATGGGACACTGAAGGAAGTCTGTACTTAGTGTCTCATAAATCTCATGCCCCAAATAGGAGAAAGATGAGTATGTCAATGAAAAGTGATAATTTTTGTGCACATTATTCCTATATATATAGACATAATCAATTGAATTACTATGCCAAAATGTGAAGTTGAAGCCAGCCTGGTGTGAGCTATTAATTCATAGAGAAGAGATGACACAATTAATGTGATTCAAATATTAATAGTAGAATTTTTACCTTGCATCATTTCTGATGCCATTGAGCTCCTACGCAGATTTTCAACAAAACACAACATAAGCCACCTTGCAATAAATTCTACCAACAATGGATCCACTGGCTGCATGGAACATATTTTATTAATAATTTCTTTAGCCCCACAGAAATTTCAGCAACCTGATATAGATGTGGATATGCTGATGTAACTGCCAGAGTTTGCCTAGCATTATGACTAACATTGTAGAATCATAGCTAAAGGTCAAAATAAATATTCCCTATGTATTAGTTTAAAGAAATATTTTAACTCATATTCAAAAATGTACAATCTAGTGTTTATGATAATAAAAACTATCAATTCTTGTTGACAACTTAAATAATTATGGGTTGTCTTATTTTATTCTAAGTAAAAATTACTGAAAGATATAAGGGAGAGAATATGTAGTTATTAGAGAAGAGATTAAGAGGTAACAGATCAAGAGCACACAGGTTGGACATTAACTCATGTCCCTACATTCAACTATGGTTAAGAATATGGCTTAATCAGAGGAACAAAGGTAGGGTTATATCTACCTGTAAAAGATTCAGTTTGAATATAGTGGAAGGTCGCTTCCAAGTTTGAGATAAGGGTTAGAACCATACACATGGGAATAGATTATGAAGAGATTTTAGAAATTGACAGCTGAGAGTTATTGAAGGTCTTGAGCAATACTTAAAAGAGAATCAGTAATGAATATCTTGAAGAAAAAGAGAGGAAGAGAGAGGGAGATGGAAGAGAGAAATGGAAGTGCTAAAAGAAAGAAGGAGCAGATCCAAAATAAGAAATAGGAAAATCAGAATTCTAAAAAATAATAATGGGAGGAAAGAGGGCATGTGATGAATTTTACATATATTTTATTGGAAGTGGCAGCCGGCTATTCAATAAATTATGGAGCAGGCAATTAGATGTATGGCAGTGATATCTTAAGAGACGAGATGGAGAGATAAGGGGTCCTCTTTGACTCTGGATTGAGTAATTAAAGGATAAAGTTAAAATTCTATTACCTAGTTTTTCCAGCCAGTTTGACTGGTCTGCACTTTAATGTGTTATGAGCAATGTCTGAGTCAGAAAGGTCATCTTCAAGCTCTCATTTTTTAGAGGACAGATATTTAGAGAGCAGAGGGCATCACATCAAGCACAAAGAAATGAGAAGAAATAAGCTGCCAGAATGAAATTCCTATCAATTATTAAAGTTGAAGATTAGCCTCAAAAGAAGCCCAAAACAGGGGCTGAAGAAATAGTACAACTGATAGGGCACTTGACACACATGCAGCTGACTCGGATTTGATCCTAGACACCCCATATGGTCTCCTAAGCACTGCAAAATATTCCCTCAGTGTAGAGTCAGAAGTAATTCCTAAGTACCACGAGGTATGACTCCAAAACAAAAGCAACATAAAAAAAACTTTAAAGAAACCCCAAGATGGGAGGAATTACAGGCCATTTGTGAAATTCAAATCTTAGAGTAGACAGATAAAATAGACAGGTAATGGGACTTGCCCAAGAACATTCAGTAACTAGCTGGCACTGAAAGAAGGGACTGTCTTCCTTCAATAACCAGTCTTTGAGGTATACTCTGTTGCCTCCTAGCTTTTGCTGTAACAGTGTGGCCCACACCTTTTCAGAAAGGGAAGGTTTGTTGAAAATTATGTGTTATCTTGGTAGACAGAACCTGTTTACAAGGGTTTATTAAAAAGACATCTGGTTTATTCAGGACAAAGCCTAAAATCCCAGACTGTTTTAGATTTGCTGAAAAGGAACATAAGACATTTTGTTCTTATTTATGCCTCAGTTTTGGCATTTTCTGAGAGAATGAAGATAAAAATCTGTTCAGGGAACCTTAAACAGAGGCAAAAACAACGTTATTTCCTTCCTTCATTTTCCTCCTTTGAAGTTTCTCAGATGGCAAACCCATTTCAACTATCCTCACAACTGGCATATTTGCTACTGTACAACACATTTTTTAAAACTTTCTCTCCATTGCTTCTTTTTTAATATCTAATACTTTTAGAATAAAGATAGGCTAATTAAATACCTATTTAGGGTAGTGCTGTTCAGTTATAATGCAAGCGCAAGAAGAGGAACATATATGGTATGACTCCAGAAAACTGGCTGTGGCCGTAAATCCAGTTTTTAACATTATTTTTTGTTGTTGACAAGGTCTAAAATTGGAAATATACCCATTTCATAACCCCGATGTGCTTATTAGACATATCAACCACTGACGAGGATCATATAGACAGGAAGGAATCCTAACCCAAGTTGTGACATGGGAATTTCTAGAGAAAATTATTATCAGGAAAGTGTAGAGCCCACCTCAGGAAGATCATGTGTTTCATCAAGTGTGGTCCTTGAACTAGGTACACCTAGGAACTCATTAGAAATACTGCTTCTTCTGGAGCCTAGCAACCTTGGAGGTTGTAGTTTAGTTGTTTAACTTACAGGTTATTTTAAATAAAAATTAGTGTGTTAGTGCTTAAAAATTTCTATATTGAGATCACGAATGTGTGCTCCTAATCCAATAACTGACATCTGTTTTCAAAAAATAAATTACTCTTCCTCCTTATTTACTCGTCTTTCCCCCTAAAGATCCATATATATATATATGTATATATATATACATATGTATGTGTGTGTTTATTTATGACATGTGTTATATATTTACTTCATGACCAGAGGGTTATTATTTCCTTGTTGTGTTGTAGGGTAAACCTATAAGAGAGTGTATATTGTATATTTTATCTGTACTGTCTTTGAACTGCTTTGTCTTTAGTTTTGTAGAACTGTAATTCCTTTGAGTAATTAGTCCTTCCTTGAGGACGCTATTGAAAAAGATCACATCTAGAGAACATGTTCAGCAATTCAATGCTCAGAAGATAGTGCTCAAGTCTCTTTTCCTGACAGACCATATGTTCTCTATTTTGAAATGTTTTTTCAAATTCTACTTATGTCTTAGAGAGGTTAAAATCAGTTGGTAAAAAAGAACAAGTAATACAGCAACCAGAGGACCACTCCACAACATCTTCATCACTGTGCTTAAATGAGTTTTGAGAAAATGTATGTGTGTGGTAGTAGTATAGATGTCTTAAAACTGCTATGTTGAGCCCATTCCTACTGCTCACAATATCTAATAGCATAATTTGGTGTCTTTGCACATTCCCTTCCTGGGTTATGGAGCTCACCCCTTAGTGCACAGCCCCTGCTTGGTATTGAACTCATGCCTTATCTTTAGGTACTTCAGTTTTACTGTTTATCAAATACAGACGTCAAAATAGACTTCTACATCTCACAAAGTGTTTATAAAAATCACTGAGTGAGTCTGTGTCAAGGTTGACTTTTTGAAATCATAACATGGAAGGCCACAAACTCTGTGAACATCATCTTATGTGAGAGAACAGGAAGATAAAGGTCATTGTATGTGAGGAATGCATGATTCATAACCCTTGAGGCTTGAGTATACAGTGGTATTAACTAATAAGCCACAAACTTCCAAATTTGTCATTTTCAAGGAGGAGGATGAGAGAAACAAAATGAACATAGAGAATTTAGACCAAATATGCTGGAGCTTCATTTTGACCAATGACCTTCTACCTCTCCACCAATTTAGATGTAAGCTGTTTCAAAGTATTAGGGAGAGAGACTGGAGCGTTCTTATCTACAGAAATACCTTTGAGTAGGGATAAAAACATGAAGCATATATAGTCCATATTCACATTCTGGATCTTTCCACCTAAATGGCTAGTAGTATTGGCTGTATCGTTTGTCTTGTGGTTAAATTGAGCGTGAGCTTTCATTATCATCTTTGTCACCCTCACTCTTTACAAACTAGTACGTGTTTTCCCATCAGTGGTAGAACTCTGTGGGTTGGGATGAAGGGCAAGTAAGGTAGGCACCAGTGTGAACTCAACACATTCTCATTTTGTCTCCTAAGCTGATCACTGGAGATTCCATCGTTAGTGCTGAGGCAGTATGGGATCACGTCACCATGGCCAACCGGGAGTTGGCATTTAAGGCTGGCGACGTCATCAAAGTCTTGGATGCTTCCAACAAGGATTGGTGGTGGGGCCAGATCGACGATGAGGAGGGATGGTTTCCTGCCAGCTTTGTGAGGGTGAGTGTCAGCCTTCACACTCCTTTTATTTCTCGTAGGCTGCCTGCTCATTCCACTGATTAACCCCTATTCCTTCCTCTCCTGGTTATTGTTCTCATATTTATTTTTATTTTTTGCACCTACTCAGAACCTGGGCTTCCTATTAATATTTTCCCTTCTCATTTGAGACTGTTCTTTTAAAAAAATCTTGCTTATTTCATCAACCCCACCTCCTTCCCCCCAACTCCTACCCACTGCAACTTTGTTTAAATCACTCTCCTTTTAGTCTCAGTGGTTTTTGTAGGCTCTTTCAGCTCTAAATTGCTATTAAGTTTTATCTTTCTAAATTTATTTTGTTTTTACATTTTTTTCTATTTTTATTCCTTCAAATATATTTTATCCTTCCCCTCACCATTTGTCTCTACTTCCTTTGCCTCCATTCTTTTATTTAGAGATTTGTGAACACCTCTTTGAATTGTCTCAGAATTGTCTTTAAGTGGTAATGTAAGAATGGGGACTCTTAACATTTCAGGGATTAGAATTTTTTTATTTCGAACCAAGTCAGTTGAATACAGTCTAACATGTACTAAAAGTTGAAAGCAGAAAGCCTGAGTTATACCATGAAGAAAATAATTCTAATAGGAGGGGCTTTTGAAAGGTTTTTTTTACTTTTCCTCTGGATCACTAATTGCTAGGATGCTATACTGGGGGGACATTACCTTGGTTTCTTTGCCTTTATCACAGTTGTGAACATCAATAGGCTCTTTCGCAGTTATGAACTTTCATCTTTCCCATCTGCAAAATGCTGTTCACAATTTTTTTCATATCACAGTTGATGAGATACATAGTGACTGTGTGGTAATGCTAACATTCTGTGTGGCAATACAGGTGCCAAAACCTAATAGTATGTGTTACGACCATTTTTACCAGAGTCTCCTTTGATAATTTATTTTGTAATATATCCACAAGTGTTAGCCATACGTACATTATTTTATTTTTCAATTTTATTTATTTTTTTAAATTATTTTATCGAATTATTATTAGATACAGTTACAGAGTTTTAGTGATCATACATGTAATTTAACTTGTCAATCATACAAATAAAAAGGTAAGATTGATTATTTTCTTTTTTCTTTTAAAATCTTTTTTATTTTAGTGAATCACCATGAGATACAGTTACAGACTTACACATTTTTGTGATTACATTTCAATTCAACAATGTTCGAGTACCCATCCCCCCACCAGTGCCCTTACTCCACCACCAGTGTTCCTAGTGTCCCTCCCACCACCTCCACCTGTCCCTCCCCCTGCCTCGGTGACAGACACATTCCTTCTTTCTCTCTCTCTCCTTTTGGGTATTATGGTTTGCAGTATAGGCACTAAGCAGCCATCATATTTGGTCCATAGTCTACTTTCATCACAAATCTACTATCACGAGCGATCCCTCCAAACATCATTTACTTAGTGGTATATTCTCTCTCCCACCTGCCTTTTTCCCTGGCACATGAGATTGGCTTCCAAGCTGTGGGGCGATCCTCTTGACCCTTAGCTAATATCCTTAGGTGTTACTTCCTATTATGTTGTTTTATATTGCACATATGGGTGCAGTCATTCTGGGTCTGTCCCACTCTTTCTGACTCATTTCGCTGAGCATGATACTCTCCATGTTGATCCACTTATATGCAAATTTCATTGTTTTATCAATTCTAAGAGCTGCATAGTATTCCATTGTGTAGATATACCAAAGTTTCTTTAAACAGTCATCTGTTCACAGACACTCGGGTTTTTTCCACAATATGGATATTGTGAATAGTACTGCAATAAACATAGAAGTGCAGATGTCATTTTTACTGTACTTTTTTACATCTCTGGAATATATTCCCAGAAGTGGTATTGGTGGTTCTAGTGGGAGCAAAATTTTTAGTTTTTTGAGAAACGTCCATATTGTTTTCCAAAAAGGCTGGAGCAGTTGACTTTCCTACCAGCAGTGTAGGAGAGTCCCTTTCTCCCCAAATCCGTGCCAACACTGGTTGTTTTTGTTTTTGTTTTTTTTGGATGTGGGCCAGTATCAGTGTTGTGAGATGATACCTCACAGATATATGTTTTGATCTGCATATCTCTGATGGTTAGTGATGAAGAGCATTTTTTCATATGCCTTTTGGCCATTTAGATTTCTTCTTTGGGGAAGCTTCTGTTCATTATATTGCCCCATATATTGCCCCATTTTCTGATGGGGTAGAATGTTTTTTCTTGTAGAGTTCAACCAGTGCCTTGTATATCTTTGATATTAACCCCTTATCGAAGTATTGGGTGAATATCCTTTCCCAATCTGTAGACCATCTTTGCGTTTTGATCACTGTTTCTCTTGAGGTGCTTAGTTTAAGATAGTCCCATTTGTTTATATCAGTTTCCACTTACTTGGTCAATGGCGCTTCATCCTTGAAGATACCTTTAGCTTCAATGTCATAGAATGTTTTGCCGACCTTTTTTTTTTTTGATGTACCTTATGTATTCTGGTCTGATGTTGAGGTCTTCAATCCACTATGATCTGACTTTTGTGCATGGTGTCAGTTAAAGGTTTGAGCTCATTTTTTTGCATGTATTTGTCCAGTTTTTCTAGCACCATTTGTTAAATAGGCTTTCCTTTCTCCATTTCACATTTCTTGCTCCCTTATCAAAGATTATATGATCATATACTTGAGGGCGTGTGTAAGGATATTCAACCCTATCCCACTGGTCTGTGGATCTGCTCTTGTTGCAATACCATGCTGTTTTAAATACTACCGCTTTGTAGTACAGTTTGAAGTTAGGAAAAGTGATGCCTCCCATCTTTCCTTTCCCAAGAATTGCTTTAGCTATTCATGAGGGCTTGTTCCATATGAATTTCTGGAGTGTTTGATCAGTTTCTTTGAAGAATGTCATGGGTACCCTTTTAGGGAACGCATTGAATCTGCATAATGCTTTGGGGAGTGTTGCCATTTTGACAATGTTAATTCTTCCAATCCATGAGCAAGAGATGTGTTTCCATTTCCTCATGTCCTCTTTTATTTCTTGAAGTAGCATTTTGTATTTTTCTTTGTAGAGGTCCTTTACCTCCTTGGTTAAGTTGATTACAAGGTACTTTATTTTCTGAGGCATGATTATGAACGGTATTGCTCTTTTTTATATTACTTTCTTCTCTCTCATTACTTGCATAGTAAAGTCACAGCTATAAAATCAATACCGAAAAATCCATGACTTTCCTATACAAGTATATTGTGTCTAGGAGCTTCTTGGTAGGGGCTTTCGGGTTCTCCTAATACAGTGTCATGTTATTTGCAAATAGTGACAGTTTGATTTCTTCCTTTCCTATTTGGATGCCCTTAACATTTTTTCTTGCCTAACCCTATTGCAAGTATATCCACTACTACATTGAATAGTAGTGAGAGTCAGCATCCTTGTATTGCCCCGATCTTAGCAGAAAGGCTCTTAGTTTTTCCGCATTGAGGATAATGCTTGCTATAGGCTTGTGGTAGATGGCTTTGACTATACTGAGGAAAGTTCCTTCAATTCCCAATTTTTCCTTCAATTCTAATTTTCAATTCATCATAAATGGGTGCTGTATATTGTCAAATTATTTCTCTCCATTTATTGAGGTGATCATATGGTTTTTATCTTTTCTTTTATTGATATGATGGATTATATTGATTAAATTGTGAATGTTGAATCATCCTTGCATCCCCGGGATGAATCCCACTTGGTCATACTGTCTGATCATTTTTGCTGTATTGTTGGATTCTATTTGCTAATATTTTGTTGAGGATCTTCACATCCGTGTTCATCAGGGATATCTGCCTGTAATTTTCTTTTTTTGTGTGTGGTGTTTCTGTTTGCTTTTGGTATTAGGGTGATATTTGCTTCATAGAAACTGGGAGAGTTTCTGTTTCTGTTTCTTCAATTTCTGGAAAAGTTCGAAAAAGACTGGCAATAGGTCCTCTTTAAATGTTTGGAAGAATTCTTTAGTGAATCCATCTGGACCTGGGATTTTGTTTTTGGGAAGAACTTTGATTACTGTTTCAATTTCCTTGATGGTGATAGGTCTATTCAGGTATTTCAAATCTTCTTGGCTCAGCCTTGGGAGTTTATGAGTCCAGGAATTTATCCATTTCTTCTAGGTTTTCTTGTTTCGTGACAGACAGACTTTCAACATAGTCTCTGATGGTCTTTTGAATTTCTTCGGTTTCTGTTGCGATGTCCCCTTTTCCATTTCTTATTCTATTTATTAGGGTTCTCTCTCTCTTTCCTTGTGAGTCTTGCTAGTGGTTGATTAATCTTGTTTATTTTCTCAAATACAAGAACTACCAGAACTTGTGGGACACAGCTAAAGCAGTGATGAGGAAAAAAAAAACTATAGCTCTGCAAGGATTCTTCAGGGAGAAAGAACCCTTATGAATAACCTGACTTCACAGCTCATGATCTTAGAAAAAGACCAACAAATGGAGCCCAAACAAGGCAAGAGGAGAAAGATCCTTCCTCCTGCCTGGTTTTTCTTTGGGCTTGGACAGTTTCCTCTGATAAGTCTGCTGTAAATCTAAGGGGTGCTCCTTTGTATGTGATTTCCTTCTTTGACCTTGCTGATTATAGTATTGTGTCTCTATCTTTGGTACCTGTCATTCTGATTATGATATGTCTTGGAATCTTTTTATTAGGGTCTCATTTAGCTTGTACCCTTCAGGCTCCTTTGATCTGGATGCCTGCATTCCTCAGCTCTGGGAACTTCTCAGAGATTATATATTTTACTAATGCTACTTTATTGGGGTTTCCTTCTTGTCTTTCTCTTACTCCGATGATTCTTATGTTGTCCCTCTTGAATTTATCCCCTATGCAAAGTGTCCGAATGCTATTAAGGGGTCTTTTTTGGTTATATCCTTTTTTCTTGTATGCTTTCTGCAGCTCATATTCAAGCTCACTGATTCTGTCTTCAGCTTTTGTCATTCTACTGTTGAGAGCGCCTACTGAGTTTTTAGTTTCTACTAAAATTT